CCCCCTGACTCTCTCTTCCAGCATTACTATGAACGGAGAGACCATCGCTTGCTCTGGTGGCTGCCAGGCTATAATTGACACTGGTACTTCTCTGCTGGCTGGGCCTTCTACTGGCATCTCCAACATTGAGTCCTACATTGGCGCCAGCGATGGCACGGTAAGGGCAGGGATCAGAGACGGACACTTTTAGAGCTGTCTGCTACACATGGATGTGATGCTCCATCTCTCTCATTGGAGAGCCTAGTGGCCAAGACACGCCTAACCTTTCCTCCATGTGTTAACTTCCTCCCTGCAGATCAGCTGCAGTGCCATGAGCAGCCTGCCCAACATCGTCTTCACCATCAACGGCATCGAGTTCCCTGTGCCCCCCAGTGCCTACATTCTTGATGTGAGTGTTCTGCTCAGAAAGCCGCCTTGGGGCCTCTTAACGAGGGCTTGTGCCTGAGGCCATTGCACTGAGCATGCTGGCAACTGCCCCCTGCACAGCCGGCATGAGCCTGCAGGAGCATCACTGAGACACAGCTCAGACTCTGTCCCCACTATGAGAGTGGGGAGGCAGAGAGCTCTTCCCCCAAAGGGATCCAAGGGGAGGGACGGTCAAAATCAAGGAAGGCCCACAGTGAAAGTCACATACCGCAAGAGAAGTAAAGCAGCCTGTAGAGCTGGCCACCGTAGGAGATCACCAGGGCAGGGGCCTTACTGGGCTGGGAGAGAATTAAATGAGCAGCTACCCAAGCTGGGAAGTTAGATCAAGAGAGATCACTGCCTTGCGTTCCAGGGCATGGGTACCTGGGCATCAGGAAGGAGTTTTCCTCCCCCATGATAAAAGTTTGCTCCCATCTGGGGAGGAACAGGTAAGCTGTTTAACAGCACACAACAACACCAGCTGATAGCAGGTAGTGGGGAAGTCCAAATCCACTTATAATCACAGCAGGATTTCTGGTGGCAGAAAGTAATCGCTCCCTTTGGAATCCGGCCAGGAGCCTGGGGAGAGCATGCTTTGTCTCCCCAAGGGATGTGTCATGAACAGAAGTGGTAAGGACCTTGCTTTTCTTCCCATTTGAAAGTTTGCACCCCTTAGCCTCAGGCCCTCAACCCTGAGGCACTGAGGCTGTTCTGAGGCCCAGATCCACAAAGGTAGGTCAATAGGGGTTAGGTATCTAAATAGCTCCAAACATTGGGGACCAACTCACCAATGCCACTCCCTATGGCCCATAGAGATCTCCCATCAAAGCCCTGACCCAGCCTAATGCTCCTTAGCTTGGGAGCTTTGAGAGCCCAGCAGAAGATGGTACAGGCACAGGCACAGGTATGTGCAAGCTCTACAGGATGATAACTCAAGGGATTATTGAAGTTCCTGCTCAATAATTATGTCCTATTTTTCCTGGTGCAGGACTCTGGCTCTTGTAGCTCTGGCTTTGAAAGCATCGACATCCCCACCTCCTCTGGAGAGCTCTGGATCCTTGGAGATGTCTTCATCAGCCAGTACTACGTTGTCTTCGACAGGGCCAACAACCAGGTGGCCCTGGCCTCTGTGGCATGAACACAGCGCCATCCCTAGGACACTGCCATGGAACACTGACCCTGGAGAGTCTCTGTTTCTCTAGAGCCCCAACACTGCGTATCGGTCTAGTGACCACACTCACCCTCTGTCCTGTAATTTTACCCACAGTAGAATAAAGTAATATAAGTGCATTCGAGTGAATTGTTTCTCTTTGATGGGGTGAATGACTCAGATTCCACTGTGACGGGTTGGATCACAGAAACCCCCTTGGGAGCTGCCACCCGATGTGCAAAGACTACCCCTGCCCCTGTTTTCCCTGCCAGCTCAGGACTCCAGCACCCTGTCTTGCTGAGCCAGACACTCCAGTCTGCGCTAACACAGACCCAGGGTCTGAATCACTTGTCCCAAAGCTGCAAGTTTACCTGAAAACAGCTCACAGTAGTGTGCTTGTCTTTAGCACTCAGATGCCCAACTCCCAATGGGGTCTAAACCCAAATAAATCCGTTTTACCCTGCATAAAGCTTATGCAGGGCAAACTCATAAATTGTTCGCCCTCTATAACACTGATAGAGAGATATGCACAGTTGTTTGCTCCCCCAGGTATTAATACATACTCTGAGTAAATTATTAAATAAAAAGTGATTTTATTAAATACAGACAGTAGGATTTAAGTGGTTCCAAGTAGTAACAGACAGAACAAAGTAAGTCACTAAGCAAAATAAAATAAAATGCGCAAATCTATATCTAATCAAACTGAATACAGATAATCTCACCCTCAGAGATGCTTCAGTAAGCTTTTTCTCAGACTGGACACCTTCCAGGCCTGGGCACAGTTCTTTCCCCTGGTACAGCTCTTGTTGCAGCTGAGGTGGTAGCTAGGGGATTCTTCATGATGGCTCCTCCCCTCCTCTGTTCTCTTCCACCCTTTTATATATCTTCTGCATAAGGCGGGAACCCTTTGTCCCTCTGGGTTTCCACCCCCCCTCACTGGAAAAGCACCAGGTTAAAGATGGATTCCAGTTCAGGTGACATGATCACATGTCACTGCAAGACTTTATTACTCACTTGCCAGCACACTGCACAACGTCACATCCACCACTGTGAAGAGGGAGATGTACCTTCTGCGAGCGCCCCTCATTCCTGACGGGGAGCTCCTATTGCTATTCCTGCCTTGCCCCTCCCCACCTCCCTCTGTGCCAACACATCTCACTCCTGATCTGTTTGATTTGTTTACTTCCAACAGTAACTTGTGAAATGGCTTTCTGGGTGTGAGCCATGCTATCAAATCCTGATGCCTTAAGGAGGGCAGGACTGTTAATTGCTTATCACAGCAGGCCCCATCTATCCCCAGTTGGGCCTGGAGCGCGGTGAGGTCTGGTTCTGTAGCCTAATGACCTGACCTCTGTCCTTCCCTGCAGTTTCCTACTGAGCTATCTGCACTGTAGCGCTCCATCTGAGGGGCCCAGAGGATGCTCATTGGCTGCAATGATTCACACCCACTCATTGGATGTGCCTATTCTGCCATCTAGCACCTTGGAGCTGGCTGGGAGCTGCCCTGTTGCCCAGCGGTTGGTGCTGTGCAGTCCCTGTATTACCCCAAAAATTGGATTTTGGGGCACTCCTAGAATAGCTTATCGCCCCTTTAATCTGTTCTTCCCGAGGTAAAGGTTTCCGGGATAGTTAAGGTAACATTTAAAGGACATGGATACAACCTTTCAATAAAATGAGTGACACAGGCAGTATTCTTTTCCAAAACCTGATCTTTTTATTAATGTAACTAGTAATCCCTATTGCGATATGATCTAAAATTAAAAATGAGACATGAATTCCCCTATTGCAAGTTAAAGATCATTTAAACCACAAGAGCATGCAGTTTAAATGATTCTAAGTGATGTGCTCTATTGCAGATGGCCAGTCTGCAATAGATCACTGACAGCAGTTCTTCAAATGTACTTTAAATTTTACATATTTAAACCACAATTAACACACGCATACATCCACATACTAATACCATTACTCTATCACTATACTAGCTTATGCCATGCGATACAATCTAACAGGCTTACGGTGATTTAACTGTATTGTCTCTGCCACTGCGGCTGCTTCAACTTTTTTGCCTGGTTGCTTTTCTCCACTCTTCTCCCAACTTTTCTCTCTTACAGCTGGTTCTTCCAATTGATCTTCTTTGTTCTATCTGTCTCAACTGTGTCATCATTTTATATTGTCCTGTCTGAACTTTCTATATGCTTTTTTTAAACTTTACAACTTCATTCATTTTTTTTTTTTACTACACATTCATTGATGCTCACTGACACTTGTTTACTTCAGAGTTACTGGCTGCTGAGACATATCATGTGACCCTAAGCTTCCAATCGTATGTGGTCTACAGCTTCCAATGGTGGAGTGACTTTTGCTTATTTAAAAATGTAGGTCAGGAATACAAAATGTAGTCTGGGGAATTTCTGGTATCACCTGCTCTGATTCACGGTCGCTGACTGACAGACCAATTAAGGTCTGAGCCAGCGCCTAGTAAAGACTCCCATTGACTCCAGTGGGCTTTGGATCAGGTTGTTCTTTGCAAAGTCAAGTCCATTTCTTGCAACAACATTTCTTTGACCTGGTTATTGGCTATGCCAAAAATAAGTCTGTCTCTGATTAGTCCATCTGGTACTTGTCCAAATTCACATGACCATGTATTATATAATAGTCAGTGGTTTCAGATGGCCCCTTGTTCTTTGCAGAGAAAATGCATCATTCCCAGTTGACATATTTGTATGAATCACAGTATTCCTGGAATGCCTGATGTGATGTTGCACTCCATAATGTTTTATGGAAATATGCTTATGAGTGTGAATATAATGGAACTGGAATATGCTTGTCACACAAGGTCTCTTGTAAGGTATCATTACAAAGCTTATAATCTACTGAGTGTGGTCATCCTATTTGTATAAATGTATCATTCTTGTATCTGAAACTAGAAATATGAAATATAACTCTGAAGTCCCATTGTAGTTATGCAAAGTGTGGGCCATTAATGGTGGTTTGGAATCTTGATGGCTCCCATCAACTAGGACAATTGGTTGTAAATGGCTCTGTTTACTTGCAAGCCTTCCTGTGAGTCAGGCCAGGAAGAATGAAGGCTTGGGGGGGGGGTCTCACAGGACATGTGACCATGTCACCTGGTACAGGAATCCATCTTAAACCTGGGGCTTTTCCATTTAGGAGGGATGGGGACCCAGAGAGACAAAAGATTCCCGCCTTCTGCCAAAGCTATAAAAGGGGGTGGAACCAGTAATTAGCTGCCAAAATCTTAACAAACGGTTCCCTCCTCACCCCACAAGGGGGTCGTGGCCCGCCCCCTGGGACTCCTGCCCCATCCAACCCCCCGCGTTCCTTGATGCCCCTCCCGGGAGCCCTGCCCCACCCAACCACCCCTTCTCCCTGTCCCCTGACCGCCCCTGGAACCCCTGCCCCTGACTGCCTCCCCCCGCCCCATCCAACCCCCCCTCCCTCATGACTCCTACCCCAGGACCCTTGCCCCCATTCAACCCCCCTGTTCCCCGCCCTCTGACTGCCCTGACCCCTATCCACCCCCCCACCCTGACCACCCCCCCGAACTCCCCTGCCCTCTATCCAACCCCTCCCCCCGCTCCCTGACCCCTTACCGCGCTGCCTGGAGGTGGCTGGCGGCGCTACAGCCGCGCTGCTTGGCTGGAGCTGGGCCACACCGCCGCCGCGCAGCGCCTGGAGCACGGGGTCAGGCCGAGCTCGCAGCCCCCCCGCTTCCCGCGAATCAGCTGTTCGCGCGGGAAGCCTGGGAGGGCTCCAGAAACAAGCGGCGGCTTTGCGCTCAGGCCCAGGGAGCCGGAGGCGGAGGTGAGCTGGGGTGGGGAGCGGTTCCCCTGCGCGCCCCCTGGGTTACCTGCTGTGGCGTGGGCTGCCCCCCCCCAGCCCTAGCTCACCTCCGCCTCCATAGGCCTGAGTGTGAAGCCGCCGCACCGCTTCTCCGCCCTCCCAGGCTTCCTGCTCGAACAGCTGATTCGCGGGAAGCGGGGGGGAGGGGGAGAAGTGGGATGGAGCGTTCAGGGGAGGAGGAGGAGGCAGAGCGGAGGTGAGCTGGGGCTGGGGGGCGGGGCGGGGCGGGGAGCTGCTGGTGGGTGCTCTGCACCCACCAAATTTTCCCAGTGGATGCTCCAGCCCCGGAGCACCCACGGAGTCAGCGCCTAAGGCGCCACTTTTGGATAATGTGCTCAGGGGAGCAGCCGCTCCCCCTGCTCCCACCCTAGCTACGCTCCTGGGTCACTTCAACTTACTGGTTGCTAAATTTAGAAGCCCTTTTAGAACCGGTTGTCCCGCGCAGGACTTCTAAATTTAACAATCCCGCGAACCGGTGCGAACTGGCTCCAGCTCACCACTGGGTGGAACAGAACAAAGGAGGCTTCCAGTCATGAGAAACACTTAGTTTCCACCTAAGATGGCTGTTGGAACTAACAAAGACTGTACCGGGGAAAGGATTGGGCCCAGACTAGGAAAGAGTCTAGTCTGTGAAAGAAGTTTATTGGAACATCTCTGAGGGTGAGATTTTACCTGTAATCAGTTTCTTAATGTATTAGGCTTAGACTTGGGTGCTTTTGCTTTATTTTGTTTGGTGACTTACTTTGATTCTGTCTGTTATTACTTGAAACCACTTAAATCCTACTTTTTATACTTAATAAAATCACTCTTATTTATTAGTAAACCCAGAGTAAGTGAACAATACCTGGGGCAGCAAACAGCTGTGCATATCTCTCTATCAGTGTTATTAGAGAGCGGACAATGTATGAGTTTACCCTGTATAAGCTTTATACAGAGTAAAACAGATTTATTTGGGGTTTGGATCCCATTGGGATCTGGGTGTCTAGGAGATAGGTGACCTGCTGAGCAGTTTTTGGTTAAAGTCTGCAGCTTTGGGGGCATGGACCAGACCTTGGTCTGTGTTGCAGCAGGCTAGCATGTCTGGCTCAACAAGACAGGGTTCTGGAGTCCCAAGCTGGCAGGGA